TAATGATACATAAGAAGACAATGGAGGTATATTGTGGAAAGATATACTTACTGTGTCTGAAGCAGTCTTCATGAGTGCTTCTGCTTTGGTTCTAAATGCTCGTGTAGGAGATTTAACTGTGACCTGCATTTAAAAAAAGTTATTTTATGACATTCACACTCAAAAAGAAAAAAAAAAGATGTTTTTTACTATAATGATACAGTAAAAAAAAAATGAAACCTCTTTTAGATAGCTTGTGAAAATGCTACGGACATAAAAAAAAAATATTACAAAATGTGTTATATGGTAATTTTATTATAATTGTTAATATAATTGTTTATGATCAAAGATATAATCGAAGGTAAGAAACCGTCTCTTTTCCAGTTGAGATGTGGATACTATCATCTCGCATTTCACTTCCAACAAGATCTTCACTGGTCTTTCCTTTGTCGACGTGTGGCTCTTTACTTGAAACACCCTAAGTTATCAAGAAACATGTAATCAGTTTAGATGTATACTTTAAAATAAATGAACATCTCTTATGTTTATATTGATGGTATATATACCAAAATAGGTAACTTAGATAAATAACTTACATATACCAGAATATTATTAGGCACTTGCACAAGGACAGGGACAACGAGGATTAGCTCAAAAAACTATACCAGAATATAATTTTGATATACCGAAAAATATAATATTGATAATATTAATAGATACGTGCACATGAAAAGGGGACAGTGGGACTTTGCAAAAAATATAACATGGTATTACTTACATATGCATACATCCTTTTGTTCAAAAAAAACAAAAATCGTAGAATATCTAATCAGTTTTTATGTATGACCACATTCTAATATAAATAATTTAAAAATCTTTATTTACCTTATATGTGTGGTATATATGAAATAACATAATCTGAACATATACAATACATTCAGTTTTATGCCAGATCAAACTAGCAATTGAAAAAATAGTTTATTTAACCACAAATATAGTATATTGGTAGCACATATATAGGGAAAAAAAGGGAAAAAAAAAAAAATGAATCATGACTTACTAAGATGGTATTACTTACATATGCATACATCGATTTGTTCAAAAATCACAAAAAATCATAGAATATATAGTCAGTTTATATGTGTGTTATATTTAATAGATTTAAATCACAAAAAATCAAAGAATTTCTAATCAGTTTTTGTGTATGACCACATTCTAATATAAATAATTAAAAGAATCTTTAATTACCTTATATGTATGGTATATATGAAATATTATAATCTGAACATATAAAATACATTCAGTTTATGCCAAAAAATCAAAGTAGCATTTGAAAAATGGTTTATTTAACCACAAATATAGTATATTGGTAGCACTTATATAGGGAAAAAAAGAAAAAAAAAAAAAAAAAAAAAAAGAATCATGACTTACTAAGAACTTTTCTTTAAATAACGCAAATTCCTCAAAAACCCGTCTTGAGAAGTCGTTGAGGGCATCCTTCAGGCTCTGGACTTCAGCAGTTAGTTTGTCGAGGCGGGTTATAACATAATCATCATTGGTATGTTGCAACACGGGGCTTGATGAAGTATTTTTCCGGGTGAACTCATTTCTTTTTCTAAAGAATGTGTCCAACAAAAGATTTTGTTTTTCCGCCTCGGTAGGAACGATGTTAATGAACTGTATAAAGAAAATAAAAAATGTATTATTCCGTCTTGTATATAATAAAAAAACTAAGACATTATTATTTACCTTAGAGTGATCAAGGTTAGAAAAGGTTCTCTGTACAAAACTACGCGTGCAAGGTTCACGAACTTCCCACTTGATTATCCTCGGGATATCATGTACACCCACGTTGGTTGCAACTACACCCTCAGCCGTATCGCAAACCTCATAAAACCATGCCTGAAGAGCCAATATCAGACCATATAACCGATACAGGTTACTTCCCTCATCATTGTCAGATATGTGCATCTGCTCTCTGGTTTGAATGGACTTCTTCAGGTACTGTAAGGTAAACTGAAAGACAACGGTTCCCCAAGAGTAATCTTCGCACTCCGGACTGTCAATCATGTCAACAAAACAACGGTCTATGCGAAGAGCATCTTGAGAGCCCATGAGGAAATTTGCTAAGAAATGCAACTTAGCAAATTTCACAGCATCTTCATCACTCGCCCACATTTTTTTCAGAAACTGCCACCTGATGTGGCTCCGAGTTAATTCAACACCAGCAAAATACTTGTCGTGCAGACCATTGGCAATCTTTGGAATGTTCAATTTCTTACTATTTCCAGTGCACTTCAAACCAGTCACGACAGCAAATTCCTCTATACCAAATCGTAGGAATTTCCCTCCGAAATCGAACCAGATCTCATCTGTCCTACTTTGATAAACTTCACGTAAAAGTATGTAGTTGACAAGCTGGTTCTGGACAATGCAATGTGGGAGATCAAGGAACTTGCCAAAAGCTGACATCCCAAAAGCTTCCAATTGCTCCTTCGTCAGAGTTTTCTTGATGTCCATTATGGTGCATTTTTCTTTGCTGTTGTCATTGCTATTTTGCACCTTCACATTTATATCCCGTGGTTTAGGGATCAGTAATTCCCATTCCTGTAAATAATCAAATGAAAAAAATATAGATATTTATATAAATGTAGAATACTAATATATACTAATCATGTTGTTAAACAAATTGTTCACAGATTAGTGGCATATACTTGTTCCCCACTTATTACAAGCATATAATTGTTCACAGAATCTAATGTTACACTTGAGCGAGTATATATTTTGTATATGTCTGAGACACATATACCGCATACGTATCCAAAAAAACTTCCATATACTTGACATATAATATCAAGAATTTGAGTAGTGGGTATATATTTTGGGTGAGTATATATTTTGTATATGTCTAAGTTTTACATGTCCTGTGAAAAATATGAATATTCATTCTTAGAGCAGAGGATGAAAATTGAATAATGAAAAAAATAAAACACATACATATCCCAAATTTGAAAAAAAAAGGATGTATACATATCTCAACATTCATAGTCTGCTAATCAATTTTGCAGAATGATTAATATACTTATCAGAGATATACAGTAGACAGAGTATATATATGTTATATGTCTGTGTACATATACCACATATATTTGCTATTATACACAGAATGATTAAAACTGGGAGAATGAAAGGAGCAGCAAACTTAAGAATGAAAAAAAAAATTACACACTACAGTCATCTTCATCTAAAAAAAGTGTGAGGAACATGACAAATTCTAACACAAAAGTCAATATCATGAAAATATCATCAACTTAGGGCTGCAGAACAAGATTATACAACCAGCAGTATGAGGACCATGACAGATTATTCATTAACATACACCAATCTACTGGCGAATAAATTACCTTATACACGACATGCTTCTGAACACGTTGCGGGGGGTTCGGTTTTCTCCTTTTCTTGTTCAAATTAACTTCACCCTTCTCTTTTTGAAACCTTTTTTTGTTTCTTTTGTTGAAAATTTCCAATGGGGATTCCTCTTCGCTCAAATATTCTTCGCTAGCGACATCTTCGGGTTGAATTTCATCTTCGAAATCGGAGTTAGATGAATTACCCTTCTCAGTGGATTTGGGGATTTTGGATTTATGGTACCGTCGCATGTTTTTGGGATTTTTACAGTCGTGGTCGGACTGAAAATCGTCTGAATCAGTGGATGGAGGTTGCTTCTTCATCTTTGCGTTGCCGGTGGACTTCCGATTAGGGTTAGGGTTTGCTTTTTTTCTCAAAAACGAGCTTTTTCTGAATGAGCTTGGGCTTTGATTTTGAAATGATATTCCTTAGCCGGGAACTTGACCTTGTCTGGGGTGTTTCTTCTTCTTCGTTCGCCGTTTTCTTCCGAGGATCCTGTGCGATTTTGGTTTTCGCCATTGACGGGAGGGAAGAATTTTTTTTTTTTTTCTTCTGCAAGAGATTTTGGTTCCCGAGGATCGCGTGGGAATATGAAACGTGTGGAGCGGTTGATGTTCCTTAATTATCTGATATAAATGCAACTTCTCATTTTTAGGTAAATTAGTAATATTTTTTGGTTTATTTGGTGATTATATAAATATTTAACTAGTGGTAGTAAATTTATAATATATTAGGGAAGAGGAAGTATGGGGTGCAATTTCCTCTTAAAACTAGTGATATTCATATTTGGGCTTCGCTTTAGTGGTTATGAGGGAAAAAAATGTAAGTAACTCACTTTTACAAATCATTTTCATAAAGAGCTCTGTTTGAGAGAATTCCACAATTACTCTTTTTCATTCCATAAAATAATCAATTATAACTGTCAATAGAAGTTACGAACAATTACTTAAAAAATTAAACTAATAACTAATTACTCTCTCTCTCATTCTTTTTTTTCTCTTTATTCTTTCTCTCTCCTACTTCTCTTTGCCCGTTTCCCTTTCTTCTCCCTTTTCCTTTTCTTCTTATTCTTCTAATTCTTCCTTCTTCCTCAAACATGAATACCTAAAGAGAGAAAAAAAAAATAGATCAAAAATTTGTACATACACAATTTATTTAAAAAATAGGTGGACAATCATAAATGTGAATGAGAGAAAAAATAATAAAATATAAAAAATAAAAAAAAAAAATTGTTTACAGCAACAACAAAAAAATAACATAACACTAATAAATCAACATAAAAACAACCGTGTGTACATAATTTAATAACAAAATACCCACATCGGCATCCCTCAAAATCAACATTTTTCCTTTTTCCACTTGTGTGTACTCAAGTAACATCAAGGTCTACACTTGAAAAAAAAAGGAAAAATAAAAAAATACAAATCATGGATAAGAGAAAAATAAATAACTAAAAAAACCAAGTTAATATCACAACAACAAATTGAGACTCAGATTCACCTTTTATAAACAATTAAAAAATCAATCACTTATAAAAATATTTAAATATCAACCATTTCGGAAAAGAAAAAGCAAGAATAAAAATTCATCATTACTTTTTCGGAGCTTCTTCGGCAACCGTTGGGGCAACGTGTTCGACCATCTTCACTGGACATCAGAGATCTATTTGAAGGCTTCCGCTTCTCGATTGCCGTCGTGAATCCGCTAAAAGTCAAATATGTTTTCTCCGTCAGTGATTGGCCCTATTGCATAACGTCGAGTAAAATAGGAATTATATGTTTTTTAAGGGAATTTTCAAGAACTTCAAGCAGTTCATGATTTTGAAAAAAAAAATGGGATGTGGATTTGATTAAAAATTTTGGAAAAATTAGATTAGAAAAAATATGTAAATTGGAAGAAGAAGAAGAAGAATAGAAAGAGACGAAAAAGGGAATAAGATTAAAGAGAAGAAGAAAGAAAATCAGTGAGAGATAATAGAAAAAATTAGGGAACAAGAAGAAGAGGTGAAAGAAAAGGAAAAAAAAAAGTAAGAGAATAAGATAAGGAGAAAAAATAAGAAGTTACAAGAAGAAGAGTTACTGGAAGTTACTAAAAAGGTGTATTTGAAAAAGGAAGGAGTAATTTTGTCTAAATAACAAGTGAGAGTTTTAATGTAAAATGTTTAAAGTTAAAGATAGAGTATGTCATTAATTCGTGGTTATGATTACAAAACAAAAGCCCAGTCCTCCATAGCCTCAGCTGGTTTCCGTTTTCGCTCTCACACCAATCAGAAATCAGACAATGGCAGAAGAGTCGTCGCGTGGCAGCCTGAAGCGCTCCTTTGTCGACGACGATGAAACAAGCAAACCGCCGCCGTAAATCTCTCTTCCCCCCTTTTGCTGATGTTTGCAATCATATTCATATGCATATCCATGTCTCGATTAGTTGCTTATAACTTTTGCGTCTAAGTTTGCGAATTTGGCGACAGTTTATATGCTTACCTGTTAGGGTTTATGCAATTTACATGTATTGGCCCGCCTTTAAGCATCAGCAGCTGCACAATCATTTTAGAATTGCAGTTATTAGTTCATCGAATCAAAATTGCTTGCCCAGCTTATTGAACAAATTTGGGAGACATTTGGCTAACTGAGAAGTGGAAATGGAATTACTTAGATGATAGCAGAATATGGGTTGGATGTTTTTGCAGTGAACTAATTTTTCTTGTGTTTTGTGTGTGTGTGTGTGTCCATGTGTGTACATACACAGGGAGAAAAGGGTGAGGTTTCCAAAAGGTAAGAAAATAAAAGGGGGAGATTTTGTGAGAGATGAAGGTGGTGAAGATATCCCTAAATTTAAGGATCCTAAATCGGCAGCCAGTGATCGGGCTGTTCGCCGCAGTAAGAATACAACAGAACTTTTTATTGATGAAAACAATGATTTTGTACCTGACATAAAAAGAGCAGAAGTCCAGTACAAGGTAAAGTTGATTAATGGTTCCTTTTTTTTTGTTTGTTTTCTGATGGTCCTATTATTATGTACTGGATAAAGTGTTTTCTTTGGATAATTTTCTGTTTTTAACTATTAGGCAATTGATTGTCTGTTCCCTTTAGTTAGATTAATAGGATAAATGATAGGGAAGTGAATGTTTCGCAGAACAATGAACCTTTCGTTGAAGAAGGTGTTGCACTGGAACCATTTAACCTGGACAAGGAGAGAGAAGAAGGCTACTTTGATGAAAACGGGAATTATGTCGAATACATAAGCCAGAATGACATCAAGGTAGTGAAAATTGTATATAATATGATTATCTTGGTATGTTTGTTGGACTTACGTGTTTCATTTGCAGGACGCGTGGCTTGATAGTGTTGATGTTTATGAAAAGTTTGATGGAAAGAGCTCAATTTCCACGAGTAATGATGAGCCACGCGATCTTGTTACCGACGAGCTTGCAGAAATCAACAGGCGGATTGCTAATGTTCTTGAGCCTGGGGAGACGGTGAGCTTTGAGTCTTGCTTGTTCTGAACTATTTACATAAGATTTTTCTTTTTTTTTGGGTGGATTGTAGATACGTAGAATCTGATTTTGTGTTGATGTTTGCTATTATTCCCATCCGTTCTTCCCATCATGAGATATCTATGGTGCTTACTTATGTTGCGTGACCCCTGCATTTGTGCATTATCCATTGCTTTTTTGTATAGAACTTTTATTAAATGACTGATAGGGATACTATTTTTATGTAATGCAATGTTATTAATGTTATAAAAAATCCGCCATGGCCGCCATTTTACAAGACTGACGTAATGAATTACCTAAATAATGCCGATATTTGTATTGAAATTCTTCTAGATCATATTTATGCATTACCTGTTGCTCTTTCATATAAAGTGTTTATTAAATGACTGGTACGCATACTCTTTTTATGTAATGGCAATACATAAATAATGTTGATATTTGTATCGATGTTCTTCTAGGATCTTATTTCCTACTTTTTCACAGGTTTTGCGAGCTTTGAGGAGGTTAAAGGGTTCTACTGATAAGAAGCAAAAAATGTCTGCTCAAACTAAACAGCAATTTGATCAGCTAACTGAAGATGCCATGAAATTGATGGAGAATGGAGATTACAGTTGAGTTTGTTCTTTTCTGTTTAAAGTGAATCTTAGTAGTGATATATATTGCTTGATATTCACTCACTATTTATGGTTCCTTATGTTTACAGATGTGTACGAGGAAAAACGAGAACATTTTGAGCGAGAAGCAGGTGTGTTCTGTTGCCTAGATTTTTCCATCAATGTTGCTAATTAGATTTCTTTGACATTCAATGATATGATTGCATATTATAATAAGAAATGAAGCTAAGGCAGCCTGGAATGTATCTTGGAATGTATGTTATTTTCGAGATTATATAATGTAGGCTTTGCATATTATTCGAAAGTTCTCCTAGAGGCATTTATAAATATCACTTTTTATCTTCTAAATGGTACTTGTGATATATCTTACATCGTTCTTAATTATCAGAGGGTTATGAGAAATTAGTGAAAGTGAGGAAGCAAGGTGTCTCAGGAAGTTCAGGTCAGGAGGAATCAGATGATATTTTTGACATGTTTGGGGATAATGATGGTAGCGCCCCTGAGAATCCTGCCACTAATGGGAGTGGATCAGCCTCTGTTCTGCAACCTGAGAGTATGCGTAAACTTTATATCTTGAATCACATGGTAGAGAAATTAAGCCATATCCTTTGACTTGTTTATCTACGGCATTTCAGGTGGAGAACCACAAAATGATTATGTGTACGATGAGTCTTCCGGGTATGCCTCTTTTCATGTAAATTTTACTCTTCTGGTACCCACTGGTCATTTGTTCACATTTCTATAAAATGTACAGTTTCTTGTTTTATTAAAAACCTTTATCAGATGATGCACAATCTCAAGTTAGCTGTAGGCTTTCGGTAAAAGAAAGGAAATAAAGAAAAACATATTTTGCTGAATATGATGCTGTTTCGGAAAATAAAGCTTTTATGAATTATCTACCCATCACGAAATCAATTTACATCACATGAAATTTCTGAAATTCACTTATTTTTCAGATATTACTACAGCAGCAGTTTGGGTTATTACTATGATCCTTCTTCTGGGTTGTACTGTTACGCAGCTTCTGGGAAATGGTAACCGTGGCCATGACTTGTTATAATCTTGACTTTTGGAATTCATATTATTATACTGCCCTTCATAAATAAAAGTGATTTATTATGTGCCTGCAGCCCAGCACTGATGATTATATGTTTGTGTGTGTTATACCGATAATCTGTTGGAATCTGTATTTCGTTTTGTCCACATGTGGATGAGCAGCACATTGAATCAGTGCATTCTTGCAAAGTTAATATTAGAAATAAACATGACTATTTCGAAGCACGACTCAGACCACTGCATGATACTGTTTGGAAATGGACCAATTTGACTTTGATGATTCCCTAATTCTAATCAGTTGTACGCAACCCCATCTAAATAGAGCTGCTCACTTGTGGTTCTCCTTCGCAGGTATGCTTATAATGAAGAATCAGGGACATATGACGAGGTCCAACAAGACACCAATGTAGCCGAGACAGATTAGAAAAGAATGGGTGTTGAATGACAACTTGTAACTCATAATACTTTTTACACAACAGGTTTGTTCATAGGCCTTTGACCGAATGGTGTGTTTATCTTAAAAATTTATCATGTTGTGTCTGTTATGAAATGGTGTTTGCAATGGTTCCTGTGAAGATGGGTTCAGATATTTGATTTTGCTTTGCTGATTGAAGAATTAATTGTGGTCGATTTTGGCTTCCATGCACTTGAAAATATTTCATTTGGTCATTCACAGAGCGCTGTCTGATACACAGTGACAGACATTGTTAGAGTATATTTTTGTAAAATGACAAAGGTGGCATTGAAAATATATTTTTGTCCAAACAAGCTGGGACATTTTTGTTTTGTTGTTCGATCAAATTTTTGTATTCTTAAGCATATAGTCTTTAAACCTGGCCGGTCTAGAGCCGGGACTGGTCCGGGTGGGTCATTTGAATCGGTCATCATTAGAGGACCTAGCCAAACCAGCTTGACCCGACCACTATTTTTATTTTATTTTTGATTTCAAACATAAAAAATTATGTATATACATAGGAATATTTATGATCAAATACAATATTATTGAGGGGGTGTATTTAATTTAAACTTTTAAAGGCTTTTAGATTTTTGATGTATTCAACTACAACTTTTAGAGATTAGTTCATTTGAGACTTTTAAAGATTTTTTATAAATCTCTAAGAAGACTTTATGCGACTTTTTAAATTGTGGGACTTTTAGATACTTTTTGTAACAAGCTTAACTTTTATCAAATTGGTGAGATTTTGCTGAACTTATGTGAGACTCTTCATACTCTCTTTATTTTTTCCTTTCTTTAACACGACTATATATCTCATTCACTTTCATACTATGTTATTTTACTCATTTTGATACCTTGCATAATTTTTTATTTTCATTACGTATACTTAACGTGATTTTTTATTTTATATATTTTATGTGGGTATATCATTTTCTCATTTTTTTTTTCTTCTGAATTTGACTTTTCAGATGTTAAATGCTTGGATGGTTTGCACTTACAAATAATTTATTTGTTCTCTTTTTTGTTTGTATGTCTATTTTCAAATATTAAATAGTTTATTTTATTTGCCAATATTTATTTGTTGATATTGAATTATTTTGAGTATTATTGATAATTTTATAAGATACAATTATTGTTTTTTGACAATGTTTGTATCTTGAATATATCCTAATAATAATTTTGTAATATTGCATCATTATGCAAAAAAATATAAAAATAAATATTAATCAATAATTAGATAAATGAATATATCTTAATTTGGGCTGATTATAGTCTCACTACAACGGCGATGTGTACTACATATGTTGTTATTCGAAATTGTACAACGATTACAACTTGTAATATAAACGAAAATAGAAAGAAATATGAGATTTATTGATATGCTTTTGTAGTACAGGAAGTCGGCTTGACGTAGACTAAATTGTTTTTGTTCGTGCGTAATAAGGGAATTGTTCTCGAGAGTTTTACAATAATAAATTTTGCTATTTATAGCAGAATATACATTGAATTTCAGTACGAGGTAGATAGGGTCGCATTTAATGTGCTGCAGCTTTTCGAAGCGATCTGTTAATTGAAGAGTGAGCATCAATGATTACACGTTTTGCACGTGGTCCAATTAGGAGGGCACCATATCAGCTGCTTTGAAGTTCGGTTAGGTCGGACCTTGGCTCATGGGTCGAAACTTCGAGAAATATTCGAGAAGTCGGTTGTTGAAGAATTTTCCGAGAAGTCGGTTGTTTAGTTGAGCTGAAGTGTGTTTAATTATCTAGTTTGAAACGAGGTGAGTCAAGTCTGGCATAGGGACGACTTTTTTTTTTTTTAAAAAAAAAAAAAAACATCCCAACTTGGGATGGTGGGTTGAGGCTACACCCCCGACCTGTGGATATAATGGCCCAGGAAGGCTAAAAAAGTCAAAGGTCTACATCGAAGTCGGAAATACATGGAGCAACATCAAAAGCAAAAATAGAAAATAAAAGATAATAAAAAAATAAAAAGTAAAAATACAAGGATCACAAAACTATCCGCTGTGGATCTAAAATCAAATTCTCATAAAAGGTCGTCCTAGTCAGAGTGACCTGGCATGGAGTCCAAAATGTCAAATCTAGTCAGGGGCAGGAGGTGGCGGTCGACCGAATCTGAAGGATGGGTACTCTATGCCAGGGTCGCCCCTATGTCGCCCCTGGCATAGGGGCGACTTTAAGTAGTAATCTTAGTTAATAAATGTTAATCACCATTTTAGTTCTGACGGTTCAAGTCCTATGTCGCTCCTGGCATATGGGCGACTTTAAGTAGTAATCTTGGTTAATAAATGTTAATCACCATTTTAGTTCTGACGGTTCAAGTCGTTTATCAATAACATATTTGAGTTTGTGCTCTTTTAAGAAACAAATATGAGGCCCTGCTCGAGTTCGACTCGTTTAAGTTATGATTGATTTGTTCGTTTAATAAATTTAAAGCCCTAAACATTTGTTCGTGAATAATTCATTCCACATAACAATCGGTTGATTCATAACTTTTTAGAGGAGTAACATACAAAACCTCTTCTTTTTTTTTTCTTTGTTTTTCTTGATATTAGTTATTATACTATGTTTATAAACATTTCATGCAAACATAATAGTTATAACTACAAGTATATAAAAGTCTTAATAAGATTTAAAAACTATATTATGAAGTTTTAAATTCCCTAATGAGAATTCTCTGAAAGTCACAAAAAATTCACTAAAGTCGTGAAAGTTTTACAAAGTCCACCAAACTCACCAAATTAAAAAGTTTTAAAAAGTTCTAAGAGTCTGAATGGCACTGCTCTTGACGTGCTTGTGGACAATGTCGATGTCCAACCCCACTGTGCTTGGGATGTAGTCGAGGGGCGTGGGTTACATCGGACATGATCTGAATGCGATACATCCAATTGGAGAGAACCATGAAATTAGAATTAATTTTGTTCTACAGACACAACTCCAAGTCCGATCCACAGACGAATTCGTAGGCGAGGAGATATGCTCACCAGAGACCGAGACGTCTAGGAGCTTCACAATGCACTTGAAGTGGCTCCGACTGATGACGACGAGCATTTGTCGGACGTTTGATTTGAGGATGGATTCCGGAACTTCCCCTGGAAGATGGTGACGCCCTTGTCGTTGAAGGAGCAACGCCATGACGGAGAGGCACTTCGTGAAGAAGTGTTGGTGGTGGCGGCACGAGAGAGTAGACGCACCAACAAAGAGTTCTTGGCTGAAAAACAATGTTCTCATTGAACGAGAGATTCCAACCACTGAGAGAGCGAGGTCTGTGAAAATTCACTTTCCGCCGAAGCTGTTGACTAGTCACGACCGACGGCCAAAGACGATCAACGAATTTATTTATTATATAATTAAATTCAATACAATAATGATTATTTTATTATATAACTAATGTAACTACAATTTATTTATACGAGTCATTGATCTACACAAAATCAATGGCTAAGATTGAGTCGTATGTATTCGTTTTAAAGAGTTGATTCATTTGATTCAAAATCAATATAAGTAAAATTAATTATAACTATATTAATTATTTTACTCATAACCACATTTATAAAATGCCATATACCTACTATTGATATATAATTTTATAAAGATAATGTTAATTTATATATTTTATTCAATAATTTAATTTATATATTTTATTCAAATAATAAATTATAATTGTGAAGAAAAGGGATAAGTATGTGATCATAGTCTATATATATATAAAGAGGGAGTTGATGGAATTTATTGCTAAATATAGATGATATACAATGACTATATTTGGCAACATTTCTACATTTGGTTGGGTAATTAATTGTAAGGTTAATTATTTTTGTTAAGAATGCCAAATAATAATGGAAAATGCATTAACATACTAAATTCATATTCAATTATTTTTGGTTAATTTTAAGAATGGAAAATAACAATGACAACTTACTTAAATCATTCCGTTTGGAAATTTAAAAAGAATTAATATTCTTCTACTCGATATTTAAAAATATATAACATCAACTACGCTCAACCATATTCTTATATACCTTAAATATATTTAATATCTTGAACTCTACATATCATTACTATGTTTTTAAGGCAGTAGTATTAGTTTAAATAACCATATGTATTAGTTCATTTTAACATTAGGCATAGATCCAAAAAACATGTTAAAAAAATATTTATTATGAATAACCTATTTAAATTAAGTTATTAGATGAATATATGATGATGGTGAATGCTGGCAAAATTTTAAAAATGATACATCAAGTTAGGCGTTGACAACAAAAGAGACATTTTGTCGTCCCTCACGGAAAAGAAACATGTAGTTGATGATTTGGTCAAAAAAGATACATTAATCACCCTACCTGATAAAAAAGCTGACGTGGTCGGATTAGGTAGTGATGTGGCATTATAACTTTCCTTAATTTTCTACGTGTTATATACGTGACGTGATGTGGCATCATTATATCCAAATACACAACTGCACATAGATAAAAAATATAGAAATAAAATAAAAAATCCAAAAATAAATAAATATAAAGACACATCAGCAAAATGAATAAAACATAAAATAAAAATAATAAAAATAGGAAAATAAAAAAATAAAAAATCCAAAAATAAAAAAATATAACAAATATATTTTGTTAACTATATATTAATAAAATATTTAAAAAAATTATATTTCTTTAATATATATTAAAAAAATAGTAAAAAATAAAAAAATATTTTGTTAATATTTCGTTAAATATAGATATAGTTCGCTAATATATATTAAAAATATTTGTAAATAATAAGAATTATATATAATTTATTATATTATCTAATATAATAATTTACATAAAATTTTATTTACTTAATATATATAAATATTAAATATAAATATGAATCACAAAATATAAATTTATATTAAAAATAATATTTTAATATATTTTAAAAAATATATTTTAAAAAATATTTTTATTTATTTAAATATAAATTTATATATGTGGTTTATATTTATATTTAATATATTTATTTATATTAAATAAATAAAATATTATGTAAAGTAATATATTAGATAATATGATAATTATATATAATTATTCTTATTAACAATTTTTTTTTTCTTTTTTAGTATTTTTTTAATATATATTAGTGAAATATATTTATATTAAACGAATTATTTTTTATTTTTCAATATATATTAACAAAACATAAATTTTTTAAATATTTTATTAATATATAGTTAACAAAATTGAACGAAATATATTTCTTATACTTTTTTTTATTTTTGGGTTTTTTTTTTCTATTTTCTATTATTATTATTTTATTTTTTCCAAAGTGTTTTTATTATTTATTTATTTTTGGATTATTTTTATTTTTATTTATCTATGTGTAGTTGTGTACTTGGAGAGAAGGATGACACATCACGCCACGTATATACCACGTAGAAAATTAAGAAAATTTATTATGCCACGTCATTATCTAACCTGACCACGTCAACTTTTTTATCCAGGTTGAGTGATTAATGTATCGTTTTCGACCAGATTGTCAACTAAATGTTTCTTTTCCATAAGGAACAACAAAATGTCTCTTTTGTTGACAACGCCTAACTTGGTATATTATTTTTAAAATTTTGTTGGTGAATGCTTAACAAAATACATGAATCATATTAATGTCAATAAAAATTAAGCATTATTAATGGTGAATGCTTAACAAAATACACCCTGACTTACCAAGATACTCGAGTACACAATATGAGTAATTCACGCTATAAATCTCATATTCAAAATATGTGTCATTATATTGTTCTCTCATAGTTCAAGAAGACTGAAATCTACATTAATATTCCACAATTTTTGTGTATACCAAGTTTTTCGGATACGTTGATTAATTTTTTTATTTTGTCCCTAATAGGTATTTTACATGGTTTTTTAATACATGTACATAAACTTTTGTTTCGAAACATGATTGTTGCGATGAAAATATGTTATCCACATTTAATGGTGGTATTGTGTAACTAAGTTTTTTTGGAGATGTTGATTGATGATTCTATTTTGATCTTTACTTACTATTCTCCATGGGTTTTAATTTTAATACATAAACTTTCGTTTCAAAACTTGATTTTTGCGATGAAAATATGTTATCTATGTCGAATGTTGGTGTTGTGTTCGATATCAAGTTTTTCAAAGACGTTGAGTAATATTTCTATTTTGGCCTCTAATTACTATCTTCCATGGGTTTTTTCAATACATAAATTTTTGTATCGAAACATCATTATTGCGATGAAAATATGTTTTCCACATTGAATGTTAGTGTTTTGTTGAAAACCAAGTTTTTTCTGAGACATTGATTTATTTTTCTATTTTCGTCACTAATTACTATTTTACATGGGTTTTTAATACTTAACCTTTTGTTTCAAAACATGATTGTTGCGATAAAATAATATGTTATCCACTTCAAATGTTGGTGTTGTGTTCAAAACCAAATTTTTTTGGAGACGTTTATTAATTTTTCTATTTTGGTGTCTATTTACTATTTTCCATAGTTTTTTACTTTTTTTATACTTAAACTTTTGCTTCAAAACATGATTTTTGCAATGAAAATATGTTATCCATATCAAATGTTGGTGTTGTGTTTGAAAACAAGTTTTTTCGGAGACGCTGATTAATTTTTCTATTTTGGTCTCCAATTACTCTTTTACATGGCTTATTTTTAATGCATAAACTTTTAGTTCAAGACGTGATTTTTGGATGAAAATACTATATCCACATCAAATAATGGTGTTGTATTCAAACCAAGTTTTTTCAAAGACTTTGATTAATTTCTTTCTCTAATTACAATCTTTCATGTCTTTTTTCAACACTTAAACTTTTGTTTCGAAACATGATTTTTGCAATGAAAATATGTTATCCACATCAAATGTTGGTGTTGTGCTTGACCCCATCGCAACCATCATGGAAAGCACTTATCCAATGGTTAGCCCATCTATTTGAAAGATAGGGCTATATAAGATCCAACGTTAGATGTTGTTGACTCCATCAATGAATATATGTCATCTTTGAATCAATCGGAGGGCAATACTTATTTAAGTTCTGATACAACATGCAAATCCGATGGTGGTGTTGATTTCTTCCATGACCTGCACACGCTGGAGTTCTTAAATAGTATAAAATGTTCTGGTGTTCTAAATCATGAATTGCACTTAAATGTTGAGTCTCTTGTCATGTTTTTGAGAAACATTGATCGTTCGATTCGACTGTGTAATGGAACACGCTTGGTGATAACGAAGCTTTCCACCTACGTGTTCCAATGTAAGATTTAATATGATCAAATGCTAGACATAAGGTATTGGTACCAAGAATTTCCCTAACTCCATCTGATCTCAGGATACCCTTAAAGTTCCAACGAAGAAAATTTACTCTTATGTTTTCTTACGCAATGACAATCAACAAGAGTCAAGAGCAGTCATTATCCCATGTCGAACTTTACTTGAAAAGACCCGTGTTCAGTCATGGTCAATTATACGTTTATGTGTCTCGAGTCACTAATCCACATGAATTGAAGATATTAATATGTGGGGACGATAATGGGGAAAAGAAAACTAATAAGTTTTTCACAATTTGTAATACCATACAATATTGTACTTTACTATCTATTCAGTAATAATGTTTTTATTTGCCATTTACTTTTTATTATATATATATATTAATGTATTTATTAAAACATTTTAATAAATATGTTCCGTGCATCGCACGGGTGAAGATACTAGTTGTTCGTAATAATCCAAAGCCAACCGTTGCTTGACCCATTCCTATAAGAGTGAATTATTATATTATATGGATTATATATAATATTATAATTAAAAAGTTTACCGTGCGCCAGCTGGTGCGCATTTCTCCCACGGCACACGTTAGACTCACTCACTTCCCTGTGTATGCTCCAGGCCCTGGCCATAGTTAGTTGCACTTTTAATTTCGCCGAAAAAAAAAAAATAAAAAAAAAATAAAATCTGCTTCGTTCAGGCACCCGATTATCATCAGGAAAACCTTCTCAATCCGTTCTATAATTTGTCCGTGTATGGCCGAATCCGACATGTATACGCATGCCTGAGAAAAAATTCGTCTGAGAAGAAGACATGAGGGAGGTGACGGAAGAGGGATCGGAGAGGGGGAGCAGGGGCGTGGCATCGGTGGATTCGATTGATTCTCGCTGGGTGTACCAGGACGAGGAGGGGTCCGATATCGACAACGACGGTGTAGACGGCGGCTTCGAGTCGCCGCTGCGGGATTCCGACGACGAGGATAATGCCGAGCAGAGGCTGATCCGGACGGGGCCTCGGATCGACTCGTTCGATGTTGAGGCGCTCGAAGTTCCTGGAGCTCAGAGGAATGATTTTGAGGTGCGCTTTGATTTAATTTGAGTCTGATTTATGAGGGCGATCTCTTGTGTGCGAGTTGCAGAGGTAGTCTGGATGCGACTGCATTTTTTCTTGGTGTGGTTTGATTATTGTCCTTTCCACGAGTTTGGATTCAAAGGATTTTGGTTATGAAAGGGGTGGAAGAAAAGAACAGGTGTAGTTGGGTTGGATAAAAAAAAGTTGCAATTAGCTAGATTTCTTCTGGCAAATATGATTTTAGACTCTAAACCTCGGATTTCTGGGGCATAATGGAATTAGAACTATAAGATTTGGCTACTGTCCTTGTTCTTATATATTGTGATATATCAACATCTTTCTTGTTGTGGCTAAAAAAATGTCGGCGTTGATTAAAAAAGCCAGAAGGTGGAAATGGGGCAGAGGATTAAGTTTGGATTAAATTGTAGATTTTACTTCGTGAATGCTGAAATCGAACTGTAGATAAGACAAATTTTACTTATGGAGTGCCTGCCTAAAAGTTGATTGAAGATAAAGAAACCTCGATGTAGAATTATTTTCTGAAATGGAACACTGGAAGCTGGGTAATTTTGGACCACCAATGACCATTAGTCTTGGAAAGATTCGGTGGTGACTGATAAATGGGACTCCGCGATAGACTTAATGCGAAGTGGGCAATTTCGGAGAAAGCTCTGTTTTCTTTTGGCTTTATCTGGACAACATTCTTCCCTAATTACTAACCAAATGTGCATGACCTCTTCCTGCGCTTTTCTTGACTAATAAGCATGTGTCCAGAAGCCCCAATAGATGAAACTAAAATCTCCCTTACCAAATTCTTTCTCCTAATTCTTGATTACTATTTAAGTAACTAACCTATTCTCATGTTTAAAATGACATGTAACTTCAACTTCAAGGATATGTTATGATTTCGTCCTTACTAATGTAGTGTACTCTGTCACTGTCTTCAGCTTAAGGATCTACTTTCATTGGCTAAACCTTTTAGTTCCATATGCTTCATATTTGAATTTTCTTCTGGAAATTTATTTCGGTTAAGGTACTTTTGCAGTCGAATACTGAAGGAAATTTTCTCAACTTCCATTGTACTCAAGTAATGATACTATTATGTGATTTAAGATGGTTTAGTACTGCATGGCGTATTGATTCTGATACTTTCCTTGACTAATAAGCATGTGTCCAGAAGCCCCAATAGATGAAACTAAAATCTCCCTTACCAAATTCTTTCTCCTAAAATTCCTGATTACTATTTAAGTAACTAACCTTTTCTCATGTTTAAATTGACATGTAACTTCAACTTCAAGGATATGTTATGATTTCGTCCTTACTAATGTAGTGTACTCTGTCACTGTCTTCAGCTTAGGATCTACTTTCATTGGCTAAACCTTTTAGTTCCATATGCTTCATATTTGAATTTTCTTCTGGAAATTTATTTCGGTTAAGGTACTTTTGCAGTCTAATACTGAAGGAAATTTTCTCAGCTTTCATTGTACTCAAGTAATGATACTATTATGTGATTTAGGATGGCTTAGTTCTGCATGGCGTATTGATTCTGAAAATTAATTGCAGGATATCACTTTGGGCAGGAGATTTGTTTTGGCTTTTCAGACACTTGGGGTCGTTTTTGGTGATGTGGGGACTAGTCCACTATACACCTTCAGTGTGATGTTCAGCAAAGCACCAGTCAATGGGGATGAAGATGTTCTTGGTGCATTGTCTTTGGTTTTGTACACTTTAATTCTGATCTCATTGATCAAGTATGTCTGTATTGTTCTTTGGGCGAACGATGATGGTGAAGGTAAATACGAGTTGGTACCTCCTTTTATTTTTATAATGATCATGATATTCATCTACTTTTAGACGTTTTATATTTTCGGTTCTCCAAATTTCTGTAGGTGGCACATTTGCTCTCTACTCTTTAATATGTAGGCATGCCAAAGTTAGTCTTCTGCCCAACCAACTGCCATCAGATGCTCGCATATCGAGCTTTAGACTCAAGGTACCATCTGCTGAACTGGAGAGGTCCTTGAAAATTAAGGAAAGACTTGAAGCTTCTCTGACATTGAAAAAGCTTCTCCTGATGTTGGTTCTGGCTGGCACTTCTATGGTGATAGCTGATGGTGTCGTCACACCTGCAATGTCAGGTGATTCTTAGAAATATATCTTTTGGCACTTTTTATTTCTAAATAATATAGTTCTTTCCTAGTCTGATGAAGGAGGAAATTTGGAGCTGTATCATGTTAACTGCTTCAAGTGGCTAATCATTTCAATTATGTTTGTGCAGTTATATCGGCTGTTGGTGGCTTAAAAGTTGGAGTTTCTGGGTTTACACAAGGTGAATGATTCGTTAATCCTACCGGAATACTTGGATTGAGTATTCTCTTCTTATCTAATTTTCCTTTTTTTTTTTTTTT